TGTTGTTGAAAGCACTGAATGGAGATTTCATCACTAGCTTCAATGGAGTTTATAATCTATCTTCACCTTCCTGCAAAATCTGAACTATTATTTCTATCATTGCCTTTCAGCTGGACCTTCTAGAAAAGGAAATAAATTCAAGGCAAAAATACTGGCATGGAAGAATAAAAAAGGAAGAATGGCTTCTTAAAGAACTGAGCTCTCTATTTCTTCACGTCATTCATGATGCAAAAGAGGGAAAGGCCCAGAAGGTATGGTGCATTCCTTTTGCAACCGGCTTTAGTAAAATTCTTTAAAAAGTCTTGCTCACATGTATCAAATTAAGAGATATTTGATGTTGCACACAGGATGGTGCTGATCTGAATCCAAGTGACTTCCCTCTCCAGTATAGCACAATCTTACAATGTGAACTGAGGTGTTACTATTTCACTGCAGCCTTTCTCACCTTAACTGGTGTCCAGCCTCATAACAGAATAACCACCAGTTCCAACTCAGAATGTGCCTATACATCCAAGGACAACACAATTCATAGTAGTATCAGAAATGGGGGAATTGCAATCAATTTCTATGCAAAAAAAATAAAATAATAATAATTAAAAGGCTAGGAAAAAGCTACAGCCAAATTAGACAACCTCTTGCTCTCATCTGTCAGAGGAAAGAGCAACACAAGAAGTCACCAGCGCACAAGTTTGCAGCATTATCTGAAGCACTCCTCCATTTCTTACAGATAAAATACAAAGAGGAAATGAAAGACATTGAGGAAATGTGCCATTTTCTTGAAGGATCCTCTCTGCAGGAAGCTGAGAGAAGAGCTTCAAAATATTTCAGCAGCCAGCTGGGCACTGAACTGCCCTTACTATTCAAAGGTACAAAAGGCTAACTACAAACAGAAGAGAGGGAAGCAGGGTTGTGCATCATTTTCTGTGATGCTTGCTCCCTCCAACAGGTTAGCTTAAACCTTAGAAACTCCTCATGTCCTCCTGAAGCAAGACAATAGAGAGGTAGGATCTGGTTAACTGGGCTGTTCTAAAAGATAAAGAACAGAGATGTGGTGAAGTACATTTAGAAGGCGTTTCAGATTTGCTCTGTGAATTTCCACTAGATTATCAGATGGGTACTACTGCTAATATTTGCTGTCTACAGCTGACAGAGATGAAAAGGACCAGGAAATACAGGTTCTGTCAGAGATCAGAAAGGCAATGGAAAACCTGATGCACTTCATTAAAAAGATGCAACTAGAAGAAAAACGAATGTACATGCAGATGACTGAGAGAGAGAAGCAAAGGAGCCACGTGTCAAGTACTGAGGCAGTAACAAACCTGATGTTCAGACAGGTGAGGTCACTGCCTTTTTTTTTTTTTTTTTGGCCCTTCTTTACATCATTTGCAGTTTTCATGACTGTTCTTCTGTTCTTTAGCATATACCCATATTCCAGTGCTCTATAACCATTATACAGTCACGCCAGCTTTGTAGCTAGTGACCTGCCATATTATGTCTAAGAAAGAAAATGAAAGGTGGGACTTGAAGTACCCTTATATCTTGTATCATTTCTTCCAGGTCATATTTGCCCTAGCCTCTGAGTTTCAGGAATGCATACTGAAACAACAAGCTGGTGTGGACACTGCATACACCAAACTGGATTTTTTGAGGGACGTGTCAAATATCCAGATCCAGCAGGCAAAGGTACTGACTTCACCCTCAGGCACATAAAAAGTGGTCAAGTTACTTACTTTCTAACAAAAGCACGAACAGTTGCCACATTCTGAGAATAATCCTCGAGAACACTTCCACAAGAAATCAGAGTCCTGTAAAATAACCAAAAACTTAAATGAGAATTTCATTTATAAAGTACATTTAAAGGTAAATAAAATTTAATTTCAAAGGCAGTTTTTCCCACAGCAGGGTTAGAAAAAAGTTCTCAGCTTCTCTATTTTCATGGAGATTTTAAACACCTGGACACCTGAAGCTCTTTCCTTCGTAGGGAAGAAGCAAGAGATTGGACACTCCATAATTACTGTGAAATTTTTTTCCCCAAGGATGAAAAAGTGATTTTCAAAAATGCTTGAGTGCAAAGGATCATAATTGCCCCTGTGTTCAAGGGATCTTTCAAATCCCATCCCTTATAATGTCTAAAGTACTGTAGGCCTGAATCCTCTTGACATGAGCATAGTTATATCAGTTGGCTTCTGTATTCTATTTTGGACTACTTGCATAAAAATAGCTTCAAATTAACACATTTTTCTAATCTTCTTCCTTTTTCTTCAGTCCTTCCTTTAAAGCTCCCTTGGAGCTATCTCTCTTCCTCTTCTGCTCTTCCATCCCCATGAGACATTAACTATTAACTGAATTTCAGCTTATTAGTCTAAATGAGGCAGGATTATTAGACCACAATGTTGAACAGAAAACATTTTATCAGATGTACGGCACTTACAAATGGATTCCAGAGAAATAGAGGACATTAAATACAAGTAACGCAGTTCAAATCATTTGTCTTACAACATTCAGATGAGCTTGAAGGATGCAGAAAAATCAGAGTTGGGTGCTGTGGGACCACAACCATTGCAAAAAGGCTTTTGAACTGCTGAGACAAGCTTGCGGTAGCATCTTATTGGGTCACCAGTTTGCATAGGATGGCTACAAACCAACTGTGTAAGGTTTTCATGAGAAGGCAAAGATCACCGGGATGCTTTTCCTATGGGCTTTTTGACAGACATGAAACACAAGTTGTGTGTATTGTCTTTTGTCTGCTTCGTGCTATTTCAGGTGCTTTTCTCTGGTTCACAACAATGCTTTGAAAACTATGAGACAACCAGATTTTATGGCAGTAGTAGGATCTCATACAGTCCATGCAAGGACATCCATCACAATCTGATCCCTCTGCTCAAGTCTGTGGTTCAGATGCTGGAAGAAGATAGCAGAAGTAGTGCATCACCTGAGACACCCGGTAAGAGGGGAAGTATTGGTACTCTCAGTTATCTGATTTTACTCTGGTCTTTAAAGACATATTGGAACCTTTCAACTTTGAAATGCTAGAAGAGATACTACCATCTGACAGCTGGAAACCAGACTTCAGCTCCATTTTGTAAGTACTAAAAATCTCCTGGGACTTAAACCCTTTATCATCTATGTACACTTGCTGCCAGGTGGGATCAGGCCTGAAATCAAAGCTTAAAGATTCTCTTTCCAGGCCTCACAAAAGTTAATGCATATGTTGCAAAACAATCCATCTCTTTCTGCCCATGTATAGAGTTCCCATAAGAATAAAAGTGATTTCATTAGACTAACTTGTTATAAGCTGAAAGTCAGTTAACATTAAAAGGGAAGACTGAGAAAATGGTGGTACTATCTGATTTCGTACATTTTTTATGCATTGGAGCACAGCTGGCTTACCTGGAAAACCTAATTAAGATGATTTAATCTTTGGAAATCAAAAAAAAATTCATTGTGTTCATGAACCTGAGTTGGCTCCATGTTTTAAGTCCAGCAACTCCTGCAGGCCAGAAAACCTAACCTCAGTTTGACATCTGAAAACATGGTTCAAAACCTAGAAATCAATAGCAAAGCTTTTACTTCCCCTGCTGAGAACATGCAAATTTTCAATTACATTTTGACGAGGCTTTTAGGTCTACCTGCTAAGTATGAGCAAATGGAGATATAAAATGCAAGTTGTTCAGCTGCTGAAGAGATATCGGTATGCAAATTACCATACAGTTAATTGGAAGTATGTGATATAAGCAGTTTCCTTTCTCAATAAGCAATACAGACGTTCAGGATTCTTGTGTCCAATTCAAGGCAACCGTATAGGAATTATTGATAAGCTACGCTTTTGATAAATGTATCTATTTTGGTAAAATGCTCTTTTGCAGAAATGTAACTAGAATGGACTGATGAATGACCTTCCGAAAGGCCATTTGGTTTCCTTCCAGCCAGGAACACTGCTACTTTTACTACTGCATACTGTAGAATTAAAGGGAAAAAATTCTAAAAGTGCAAGAGGGCTTAACCGTACTCCAAAAATAATGGTTCAGCAGTAAATATATTCCCTGATTTCTTCTACAGGGTACTCATCAAGAAGTACTTTAAAAGCATCTGCTGCTCATTCAGAGGCATTAAGGACTGAAGCAAGTCAGGAAACTGCTTCGGCTTCCACAGTATCAGCTCTTCTGCCCACTTCACATTCACAAAAGATCAGCCTTGTACAACAAGAAATCCAGACAAAGTAAGAGAACCTTATTCATCGAATCATAGAATGGTTATTGTGCCTCGTTTAATTGCCTCTGTATTTTAACTTATAACATATATATTCTACATGAGCTTAGAGGTATTTCCCCTGCCCCCAAAAGGCTTACATTTGGGTTTTATGGGTGGCTCAACATAAGGTACCTGTTACCTGTTTGTTCTCAGGCAATATACACACAACCATGACAAGTGCCACGTAGTAATGAGGAAGCATACACAGTATACAAAGTAGGAATCTTCAGTCCTGTCTCATGCATGTCTGGTCACAGGTTTTTATTAGAGAAGCACGCTTCTGAACTGTTACACCTGGAACTGTCTTTAATGATGGAAGAAATAAGTGCATTTTTTTATGAATCATCCAAGACTAAGGAAGATGAATACCATAAAGGAAATGGGGTAAGGTTGGTACCATATCAACTTAGAGCACTCAGCTGATACACAAGAAAATAAAGTTTTCTGTTTTCTTTTTGAATTCCTTTCAATTATCCCACATCACTTCAGAAAAGTAAATAAAAGCAAAAAGGAGTTTGTTAAAGGAACCTTCTGTTCTGACTACTGCAAAGCAGAACAAAAACAAAATTATGCTCCCTTCTCAATGTTAAGGCACAAGAATCAGTGGCTTTATTTTCAGTAACTTGTGGGTACATAATCCTACAGTAAAACAGTCTACTTATGTTACTTAAATGAACTTGGAGATCTGGTTTCTGGCTATTTTTAAAGCTCCGTGTGACTCATTTCTCATCCCTTTGATGCTCCTGATCATGAAGATGTTGCAGTTGGGCTGTCTATGTTTTCAGGGAAAGACCAGTAGAAGAACAGAAGCAGTCATCGCCAAGGATTCACTCCTGAAAGAACTGTCAGAACACCACCACCGTAACGAAACAGTCCTCTATCAGAAACATCGGGAAGAAATCAAACATTCTGGCCTCAGCTCTCGTTTAACAGCACCCCATCAGACCTTACATTTTCTGGAAGAAATCCCAGACCAGTTGTCAATTTGTGGTGCTGGTTTTCAGATCCCAGACTCTGACTTCACTGAACAAGAAGTAAGTTCAATGTATTTTGCTTATGCTACTCCTACTCTTGTCACTTCACTGCTTTGAAGGATGAATGCAACCTTCACTGGAAGGTATAGGCATACACATCAGCTTTAGGCATTACATAGGTGGCTGTATTATCAGAGCAGCTACATGCACAACTTGAGTGTTTGGGTCTCCTTGTATTGCACTACATATTTTACTAGTATTGCACTACATATTTTACTACCTCAGTACATTTTTTTACTACATATTTTTATTGCTTAAGTATAGGTTAAGTCATCTAAATTTTAAATTATCATTACACAGGAAAAAATAGTGACATTACCAGCACAAAGCTTTTTTCTTTCCTTTTTCTTTCTAAGCCAGTTTACTGCCTGAGTTTGTTTTTCCCTTGCTCACATGTATGAATGTAGTTTTTCTTTTTTTCTTCATGCTGCTTTAATGGTCCTTGTTCCATCCTCCAGTATCTTAGGATTTTATAACACTGACTGCATCTACAATTACAACATGCTGGTTTTCCTCTAGTGCGCCCTGGGCTTTGCTAGGAGAGCATCACTAGTAGACAACAATTGAGGATTTGAAAGTAGAAAAGTTCCCTGTTATAATAACAATATTTCCTCAAAATACTTTGAGCTAACATCTCCTTTACACTTGTACACATTGTAGAAGGGGCCACTGCCATTTCTGCAGTCTCAGTGCCCACCAATGGTGCTCTTCTTTTAGCTTTTACGAGTCTACATAACCACAGACTTCATGCTATGGTCTGACAGGAAAACACTGGAGAGATAGCTTAAAAGATGGTCAGGTAACTTAGGCATAGGGCTTCTGTTGTGGGCAAGCTCCACCTTTGAGATGACCTTGTTTATACACATGGGTTTTAATATGGCAGAGTCATTCTCCAGTCAGACCATATAAATCTGTTCTGAGAGCAGATGTCTGCCTCACCTTACGCTAATGACAAACTTCTTGACCCATTGTCTGATTTCATCTAACTTTGCAGGGGCATAAAGGGCTCAGGAAATAAAGCACCCGTAAATTTTATGAAAACAAACAGACAAGTAGAGGAGAAACAGAGAATTTACATACCCCTCTAAGGCAAAACTGCAGTGTGACTTCATGCCTTACTAGGTACCAAAACACTCATCCAGCAAAGACCTATATGGATAAAGTTTCCCTTGGAGCCCCTATAAACTTGGAGGAACTAATCTACTTAGACTACTCCAAACTGACCCACATTTCCCACCATTTCCATAGGAAATCAGGCTTCTCAGGCTTCACTAGTTCTGGTAACTATGGTGCTATTTGTTGGTGTAGAAAATCCTTTTTTCTTTTCTTTTTTTTTTTTTTTTTTTTTTCCCCTCTTTCACTTAACAGAAACCACATTGTCAGGAAGTCAAGCTTTCTCCAGACTCTCTAACTCAAATACTACAAGCTTCTGCAGTGAAGATAGTAAAGCTGGAAGCTCTGAGGCAAGCATGTCTGTACAGAGTCCTGGATCTCTACAACAACCTTCAGGTAGAGGCAGTTCATGCTTTTCACGCCTCACCCCTCACCTGCAAAAGCCTCGTGGTAATTCAGAAAACCTGTAAGCTTGCAGCTGCCCACCCTGACCTACAGTGCAGTTACAGGAATGTCCTAAACAGGGCATCCCCACAGCCAAAGCCTTACCAGCTGTACCCACTACAACCCCAATGCAAGAGCAAGTTCACTTCTGTACACAAAATTCATTTGCTCATAGCACTGTACTTCCCTTCTTCAGATTCTGACTTGGCCAGAAAGCGTGACCAGGATCCTGAACAGCTTTGACTACAAAACTAATGGTGAAAGAGTAGCTCAGGAGGTTGCTCAGAGTAAAGAGAAACAGCAAATGGCAAGAGCTCTGGCTTTCCTCCAGAAGCATCATCAGGAAGGGGATTTGCTTGTTGGTTTAAAGGAAGAGTCAGAAGCTGTGCTGAGAAACATGCAGGCAGAATTTAGACTGGAACTTCACACACAGACGGAAGAAAAGGTACATCAGCTGAAGCATTCGTATTTTCATTTGCTAACAGAGGTATGTGGTGGGATGAGGCTTCAGTAAAATTTCTGGTTATTTTAGGTTCAGCAGTGTTTTATGTGGTTCACAACTATTCAAGTCATTATGCAAGAAAGGATTTTCCAGCTCTAGCAGGACATGCTTTGGGAATCTTTCTAAAGTCCCATTTTAATTTGATGTGTTCCATTATTCTTCAGGGTAGTTCTCTATTTTTTCCCTGGACTCCTATTTGCAAACCTGCAGTGAGAATTGGAATATTTCCACACTTTCACAACTCTGCAAGTAACAGAATCTATATGATTTTTTAATGTTTTCTTCACAGATACAAGCCAAAGAAATGCAAGTGATCCAAGGGACTGAAGGAGAAGAATTAGGGAATTTGGTGGCATATTTCATCCTATCTCAGAGACACCTGCGGCAAACAGTCGTAATGCTGCAAGATTGCTACAGGCTCCAGAAGGCTACACTGAGGTCCCAAAGGGAGGGCACTGGCCTGGAACAGCTTGCTGTAGAAGTAATATTCTCCTGATACTTCGGTTTAGAATTTGGAACTCCTCCAGTGTGTTGTTACAAAGCTTTAAAGTTTATAAATGTCTCCTGAGGAATTGTTTCTGTTTATAGCAAATGGACAGCTTGCTCCAGATTTAAATAATAATAATAACAACATACTGTAATCTGCAACAGTTGTGTATATGAAGAAATTGAAAATATCATGGGTTTAGCTACTAAAGATCAGACACTTCAAATTCATTTCTCAACAGAAATTTACTTAAGGCTCCTTTGATGATCTTAAACTTACTTTTGACAGTTTATTTATTTATTTATTTTTAAATAACAAAAATTCAGGGTGCATGGGACTGAAAAATACTGTTATCCATTTTCCACTGCCTTTGACATCATTTTCAAAAACTCTGACTCTTAAATCTGTCTGTTCTCAATGAAATGCACAAAAAGTAAGATAACCAAATACCACGGTATGTGATCAGAATCACACTATATTTCACATCACCATTTTATCTTTCAGGAGTTATCAATCGATGATGACCTGTGGGGCACGTTGTATCTGCTGAAGAACAACACCGAGTATACGTTGTTAGTGCTTGAATATATACAAGCTGTAAGATTATTACAGCTGAGGGAAGCACAGTTTAAGGAAATAGGCAGAAGCCTAAAAGGCTACCTGCAGGAGAAGGTAAAACTGAAAATATGTTACCTGTTGATTTTATTCAGAAAATGCTAATTTGCATTGCTACTGTTACTCTGTAGAGGACTCTGTTCTGCAAGTATCACCTTTTCCAGAACAATACCAGGATCTTATCGTCTTTTTTCGTGCTTTTTTTTCTTTTTCTTTTTTTTTTTTCCCATATGTATGATCTGTAGTTTTTGAATGAAGCTAACAACATAACCAATGAACTGAAAAACTTCAGAGAGCAGAAAATTAGAAGGCTGAAGGATCAACTGAAACTCTTCCTGGGAAATAAAAGAACGAAGAATATTTCAAGTAACTTTGATCCACTGCAGGTTAGAAAAGCATAAATCCCAAAAGTTCTCCAACTGAACAGGCTGCATCATATGCACAATATATAAGATTAATGGTGTAATGCTAAAGAGACTGTGAATGCAGCTAGTTGTGTGGATTATGTTCTGTACTATGATAATCACAACAGATGTATGAAGACATTGGTTGAACGTAGAGATTAGCAATACAAAACTTGAAGAAGCTTGAAAGGGACAGGAAAAACAGAGCTTTTAAAAGTAGCTATCCTCCGAAGTAAAAACATAAGGGAAGAAAGAGTTTAACAGTTTTCTTCTTAAGAGAAGAAAATAGCTACCTTGAAAACAAAAGAAACATCAGGAAAAAAAAAAAAAAAGAAAAAAAAGGTCTCTGGCAGACCTTCAAGAGAAGTATCTGGACCTCAGAGAATCTCACATATGGCAAGTACCAGATGAAACAGCAAAGCTGCAGAATCACCTGCTGTGTGGAGAGCTGAAAAGGAGGATGAAGCACACAGGGTTTGATTCAACAGCACACCCTGAGCAGCATGATAGGAGGGTACATCTGACCACATCACATAACCACTCCACCCCACAGTGGTTTTGTGTTTGTTCTGGGCATTGTTTGGCTGCTGTGTTTGTTTGTTTGTTGTTTTTTTTCCTGATTTTCAGTTATTTAGAGACTGAGGACTGGTACCCAGAAATGCCATATGTAGTCCAAAGTACTAATCACTGTACAGTCTGAGAAGTTTAACAGCAGAAGGCAAGCTAAGCAACTAGTGTCTGCCCTAAGCAAAGAATATACAGCCTGAAAAATGAGCTCCTTAAGGTGAAAGCCTGCTGGATGTCTCTGTATTTGCTTCTTAATATTTTTTTTCTTGCCATTGACAGTGTGAGAGAACATAAGTTTTTAATACGCAAAGCCTAAATTTATGCCAGAGAAGTAGTTAAAAATAAATAAATCTGTAATTATCATTATGAACTTTATAGGCACTTTTACACCTCCTTACCTTTCTTTGTAGAACTTCATGAATATATGCAGTGAAACAAAAGGGAAGGATTTTCATCCAGATCTGGAAAAGCTGAGAATGAGATCTGAAGAGGAAAGAAAGATGCAGCAAACCAACAGTCCTCCGTTGTCCATCACCAAGTCTTTCTGGATTCCAGGGACACATCATAAGGCAGATGACGAGTTCTTAGAGTTCTTGACTGAGAGTAAGCCCAGTTTGTCATAAGAAACTCAAGTGACTTATCATTCCTTTTTGATCTTCATATATTTCCTGGAGGGCATTAATGCTTTGGAAATGGGAAGAATAGGGAAGAGGTGGGGTGGAACTCAGACAATAGTTAACAGTATAAGATGAAGAAGGCTTTATGTGTTTCTGAAAATAAAACATCTTTCTCCCAACTAACCATCCTAGAAACTGAGCCAGCGTGAAGAGTTTACATTAAAAAGGCATTTTACAGCTAGGACTATATTAGTGTCCTCTCAATTAATTGATATTATTGAAATTTAAGTATAAATCTGGATACTTACCTGGGTGATTGCTTTTTCTGGCAAGAATATAATTCTCACCTAGATAATCTTTATACATCTTCAGAGCTGAATTTCTTCCATCCTTAGCATTAAGCACGTGTCCAGGGATTCTCTTGAAACATCAGCAGCTCTTTGATAAGCAGCAGAATTTCCTCCTTTTTGGACCAAAAAAAAAAAAAAAAAGTTATTGGGAGCAGGTGAACTATCACTTGTGATCAATTGCTTAGTCTTTAGGTTTTCCAGCACCTTCTCTATGAAGCAAACAGCTGTTTATTTACCCCTTATCTCGATGAAGTGGTATGTAACACAATCCTGGAATTCAACTAAACACAAAGAAATAAACCAAAAGAAATCAAGGCTAGCTTATGGAACAAGAGGAATGGCTAGGAGCATCTGGAATTATTTGCAATTATTAACTAGTGTATACTACTCTCACAGACATCAAGGTGCTGAAGCAGGCAGAACACCTGATGGCATCCAGAATTATTCTTCTGAATCCACAGTTCACAACACCTCCTCTGTATGGTAAAAAGTTTAAATTATTTTGCAATCAATGTTGCATTCATTAGTTAAAAAATAAATCCTACCAATTAGGTGAGATATGCAATAGAAAGACATTATTTATAGACTCAAAGGCAGATCATCTATTTTTTCATCAAGAAAGACACACTGGAAACAAACACAACACTGTTAGGAAAAATTGCCAGGAGTATTCTGTAAGAAGCCCAACCAAAATCTGTGGGAATAAGAAGCACTTAGGTTTTGGTCTTGTTTTGATGTTGTTTTTTTTTTTTTTTTTTTGGTTTTGTTTTTTTGGTGCGGGAGGGCAGGATTTTGAATTTTTGCTTGTTTTGATATTGAGAGTACCATCTCCCTGTGTAAACAAAGACTTCCATATAGTATTTGAGGTACATGAAAAAAAGAGAGAGAACTAGCCAACTGAATACTGTAAAGTGTTTTTGAAAGAGAGATTTTCTCTGAAATGTTGACATGTCTTTGCCCAGACTTCAATATTGTGCTCCAAACAGCAAAATTATTTACCTATCTCACCTTGCTTGTATAATTCCTTTTTGGAATGATGGTTTAGAGATAGATTGTTTAAGAAAGCAGCATTTCTGTATTTCTTTACACAGGTGGTAATAAAACTAAGTATCTAGAAACCTCTTTTCTTCTTGGTCTTCTGAAGGATGTCAATGATGAGCTCCAAAGTCATGCGGCAGCAACTGGATTACTACAAAGCCAAAAGCTGGACAAAAGTAAACCTCATCTCTGCTCATTCTTACAAGAAATGTCAGAAGGTGAATGTAATGTAATGATTTGGGTTTTATCATTCATTTTGTTTTTATTGTGATAAGATTTTACTGGACAGGCAACTTAGATTTACTGTCCTCTGAAGAAAGTGCTGTAGCAGTGGAAGACAGACCCAGAATCACTCAGACGTTGCTGCTGATGAAATCAGAGGCACACAAGTCATCTCGCTATTTTAGACCTTATCTGAAATTTCAGAAGGAAGTTTTGGGGGTTGCATGAGAATAAAGCATGGCATGACTCTTGAAAAATTTTCTAATGCATCAGAAGGGCTTAATTTTATACTGAATAATGACAAAGTGTTAAAAGGTGAGAAATGCAGCATATTACATGCTTGTGTTGCAATGTTCCCTCTTGGACAAACAAAATGAAAAAAACACTATTTAGTTTAACAAAATGTTACTGTTCTTTGTAGAAACAGAAAATTCTTATCAGGGTATACAAGATAAGTTGATGGATCAAGAAGGAGAACTAATAGTAGTTGATTCTGCAACTCTTTCTACAAGGGAGTTTGTCATATATCAGTACGGCATCTCCATCCTGCAATTTCTCAGACTTCACATTGATGTAAGTTCTTAAGACACTGGTGTTCAGTGATCAGTGCTTTTAAAAGAATACAGGTATCCAAAAAATCTTTCAACAACTATCAAGTAAGATCAAGCAGAGAATAACTAGTGTGAGAGCATCAGGAAGTGCAATCCATTTGTTTTCTCCACAACAATTTTGAAGTCAAATCTCTGTCCCACAAGATCCACGATCCATTCTTTTATTTCTTGTGCCATCTTTCTTGAGCACATCACTTAATTCTTGCATTACCTAATTGCTGCATATGCATAATACTAGGACTGCCTAATATTAGGATAAAGCTTTTCATTTTTAGTAATTTGGAGCAAGGAGTCCCATTTTCTTTTTACTGTTCTTTGCACATTATGGCTGCAGTCAAGGTAGACTCTGCAGGGTCTTTCATAAAAATATCAAATAAATAATAATAAAAATAATGGTGACTACAGTCAGAGCTCCAGGGCAAGAGTACACTTTCATTTATTTAATTAGAGAACTGGCAAGATGAACTGCTGTGATATGCAAGGGTTTTTTAAACAGTCTCCATTTCCTTGTGGTATTTGTTGGCTCTGTGTACTGACTGCAAATCAAAGCTGACATTTAAATGAATTTATAACCCATTAATCCCTCTTACTTTGCAGATCTGATGTGCATACATACTTTTTACAGAAGCAATTTGCCTTCCCTTTGCAGGCTCCAGAAATTAACCTGTGTGTTGCCTCCAGCATACCTCTCTGTAATGCTACAGGCAATGCCTTCAGAAACTGCTACTTTTATCAGGTGTGTCAGCTTCACGTCTAACCAGTCTGTGTAATATTTTCATATCCATTAAATTAGAGAACTAGGGAGGAGATTGCAGAAATGGTTCATATTTTTAAGTCAGGGTATGCTTGATGCTTTCTAGGAAAATATCTGAAGCATACCATTGACATTATATTGATATCTCTGAATGTAAACTTAATAGAGCACTCTAGGATACAGAGATTTAAGAAATGTTTTGTATGACGGTCATACCCAAAGCATGCTTTATTAAACAAGCTGTGGTTACCTAGTCTCTCATATTCAAGTTACACCAAATTATGTACAGGTCACCTTCAGAGAAGTCAACAGCCGATCAGCATTTTATATACTATAATTAAATAATACTAAATAGTCAGATTCTATATTTCTAAAATTCCAAGACATCGAGAGTTTTCTAAAGCGCACAATACAAAAATAAAACTCTAGAAACACCTCATGTGAGAATATGCTAGATTTCACACAAAGGAAAACAGAAAGCCTTATGACAATGCTGCTTTCTTTAGTATATGGATATTCACCAACCAACATTCTCTAGTTTGAGTCTTTTAACTTCTGTAAAATTGAGACCAACCCTTGGAGGAGTTGCATCAGCTGAGCTGACTGCTGCTGTGCTCTTATCTCAACTCTGGATATTTGTTTTTTCTCAGAATTCAGAGAACAAGCTGTTCATTCTAAGGGATTGCCTGGGTTCTGCTGGAAGCTTCCTCCTGCTCCTCGTGCACTGTTTAGCTCATATCACTGCCGCTGACTTCAACCAAGACACCAACCCAATCTTTCTGAGGCTTTTTTATCAGGTACATCAATATGTTCCAAATGTAATTACATCACAGCAGTGTCAGGACAAAAAGCACCATTTTTAAAAGAAGGTGTTTTTAACAGTTTTGTACAACTTCTAAAAACAAAAATCAAAGGTGAAAAAACAGATGGTTAAAGGCTGTTATCTGAACTGCCATCACTGTTGCACAAAGGTTGTTCACAGAATGGTTCACATTCAACATCTAAATAATGCAGCTTCACCCCAGCTGTAAGACAGCAAGACAACAACAACAACAAAAATCCACCATAAACTGTATTCTCTTTTTCTAGGCACTAAAGACTTGCCTTGGTGAAATGTTCTCTCTTAGACTCCAGCTGTCAACAGTTCTCCAGGGTGAAAAATCCTCTGGGATATCTCAGATGTTACTAAAGGAAGAACCATTCTCCAAGGAAGAAATAACTTTGATCTCACAACTTTTTGAGGTAAAAGCAAAAAGCTTCACAGGGATGGAAGCCTTTGAGAAGGTAATAAAAAAGGTCATGAGTCCTGGTCTGGCTGAAAACTCACCATCCTTATTCTGATTTCATTGCAAAATTGCAATTCAAACCTGCTTATAGGTGTCCGGACAAGCGTGTGACTGTTTGAATCTAAAAGCCACACAGATAATATCAGAGGCTGTTATTTTTATCTGAAAAAAACTTTCTGAAAGAGATTTTGGGCCTCATGCCAATCACTAGGACAGTATAAAACGTAGCACCATGAAAAAATGTATTTAAGGAGTCTATAAATGGTTTTTAAAATTAACACTGATTTGCTCTCTCCACTTCTGTGCTTATTGTATGACACATTTGAGGAACCACTAAATAGCAAGTTGTTTGTGAAGATGAAAGAACATTTCCTTCATGCCTTAAGCAGCTATGAAAAGGGCAGTTTGGGATGGAGGACACGGTAAGAATGATTTGAGAGGATGTATTATGAACTCTTGTATTAAGATATCAACAATCAAACAATCTGGGGGGTTGTAAATGAAGCAAATCATGACACCTCTTCATTATGACCTCACTCTACACTACAAAACCAATTTCCACAACCTGCTACGTCTACTGACACTGTATAAAGGACAGGCTGAATGTGTTGCCTGCTTGTTACAAAGACTGATTGCTTCTCTCTAAGCTATCATCTTTTGAGTAACAGAAGTTAAATTTCTGTGAAATTGATCTTTCTGGCTTGGTCTTGTGAAAAGTCTACAGATAGCACCATCAGTGTCACTTTGTCTGATTTTAAGCGTTCCATTTCTTTAGCTCAGCAGAGGACAGCTGTACTTACTTGACCTCTTCAGAACTTGAGGATAAAGTGAAGAGCTGGTGGATATCATAGAAAGTGAACGCCGCTTTTTGAAGAGTAAAGGCAGTGAAGACTTACTTTTTGACCACCTTGAATTAACTAGTTTGGAAAAAAACCATTTGGTACGACAAATACAGGCATTAGAAGAGAAGATAGCCTTAGGTAAAAAGTTTTAATGATATTCAGAAGACTTCAAGAATTGGTTCTAAATTGGTCCTCTGCTTTTGTCTTCAGGCTTTATACCAAAATAAATCTTGTGTTTTCATTTTATGAGACTATGTTTTTCCTCTTCATACCAAAGGCTCATTAAAGCAATACAGTAATTTAAGTGACAAGATTTTAGCCTACATTACTACATCCAAGTAGTGAAATGACAAACACTGTTGTAAAAGCTCACCAAACCCCCAGCTTTCAGGAACAGAAGCAAAATTTAGAAGCAGTATTTAAGTCTCATTAAGTATATATATTTTAAACTCAAGTATCATTTTGCTACATGTTTTGAAGCTTCTACAGACATCAGCTGACACTGATGCTTCAGACTTTAAGACAAGGAAAGCTATAGACGTAATCAGCCCAAGTAACTGTACCCATACAATTGCACAACAGGAACAGAAAATAAAACATCCACCACCAGAAGCAACTTGCCCAGTCTGGACAACCTTCACTCTTCCTGATGTCACCATGCATCAACTGCTCTGTAGTACCAACCAGAAAGGAATGCAAGCCCTACGCTGTCAAAGACTAGCTCCACCCTTAATCTTAGAGACACAAGACTTTCCTCCTCCCAAATTAAAGAGCAAAGCCCTGAAAGGCATGGGGAACTTGACATCCAATAGTAAGTGAAGCACCTGCCCACCACAGCCTCTAGTTTAGGTAACAAGTCACAGGAGTTCTTTCTCACCCCATCAGTACAACAATTCATGAAAGCACAGAGCAAGAACTTTGAGTTATTTCATGATCAATTCAATAACTTCATACTAATGCTGTTACCTCATTAAACATCAAATATTCAACACTAAGAAGTGGCTAGACTATTAGAACTTTAAAAATTGCACACTCATTCTATTCTGTCAGAATTGAGAAGTCAAATATACACGTTTTCACCCTATACAAAGATGCTTACTTGGACCTCGCTAGGTAAAACACTCTACTGATAACAATAAATGGATCTAATTGCTCAAGTCTAAGCTCTATTATCAGGGCTGTAAGAATTAGTTGGAAACACTGCTTCTGACTCACAGTAATGAAGAAGCCTCCCACCTTACATCATCTCATTTATTTAGTTTATGCAACATCACACAGATTACAGCATTCACACAAAGAGCAGACCTCAAAAAGAAGTATTTTAAGAAAGAAACTCTCTATACTTACAGGCAGTGTAGGACTGATTTTTTGTATGAGTGAGCTACTGAATCCTATTGACAAAGTTTATTGCAAGAAGTCTTGTGCAGAAGTACATGTGACTCAGTAGTGTGGGTTTGTTCTTAAGAAATACAGACTAAGTCATGGTGAAGCATGACTGAGAGCACCTCATTGTGGAACAGCATTACAAGAATTGGCCTCCTAATTATCCCCCATCCATATGTACATTATAATAAAAGGGTAACTAAGATACAGTTTGAGCACCTGTGACTTTATACAATAAAATTTAATACAAGTATTATCTTTTACACTATGAGATTTCTTCAAATTTACATGCTATCTTTAATACTTTTTTGTTTGGCTTCACTTACACAGGCAGCCCTCCAGCTCTTGAAGTGGCTCTAGCTTTCTGCTTTCACAGTGTCTCTCTTTCAGGACTGTTTTTTAGTTGTTTCCATCATTGTTTATTAGGTAGCAAGAGGTAGAGTAGAGCAAGTAGAAATAGCTGAAGTAGCCATGTATTTACACAAGCTACTGATTTTTGACACACAAGTTGAGCATTTTCAACAGATTAGCCAGCAAGACAAGCTATTGACATCGCTTCTGCTACCCTCGCATCCCTGTTTAATAAGCAAATGGGTGGAATAGGAGACACATTGAGTCAGTAGGAAGAGATACTGCAAATCAATACAAAAGCAGGGGTTTAATGTAATTAGTACCAGCACTGAGTAAAAAAAAAGTGTTTCAAGCAATATCCTAGAACACAGTTTAGGACTCCAGTATCTTTCCTACTGGGAGTGTAGACTCCATGTGTCCAGTGTTGTGGACTAGTTGGAAAACAGCTCAAGTGATTCAAGTTGTCCCACAGCTACAGGAAAAGCTTCCCAGGGGACACAGTACTGCAGACTGGCAAGCTTATGCTAACTTACAGCTGTGGAAAGCTACAATGCCATGTATTCATTCTTCTCCTGTCCACAAGGCTGTGTTCTTCTGACAGGTAAGCTACAGGCTAAGAAGCAGAAGCCCAGCTGGAGCCACAAGGCAGTCTTTCACAGCTGCAAATAGCAAAGCTTCACTCAACCACTTGTGATGTGTAGATGTGCAACTACAGAGTATGCTTCTGCTCTTGCTACTTTTGCCAGGAGGACACAGATTACCTTTCAAGGCAAGTCACTTTTCACTTTTTTTTTTTTAAATCTTCCTTGACTTGCTTGTGACTTCACTGAAAAGCTTTAACTGCCTTCAGGGCACTGATAGCAGATCACACAGCTTTTAAAAGAACATGATTAGATTTATTGATATATGCATTTCCTTTTTAACTTACAAGTAGAGTCACATTAATTTTCAGTCTTATGTTAACATTAATAAAACATTAAAAAGTTACATAATAAAACCCCGAAGTTCCAGATATACAGAGTAAGAGATAGGGAACAGACAGTAAGTGCTTTCTGTTTTCATGAAGCTTTGTAGTGCCAGCCTTCATCCCATACCATAGCTCAGTGCTTCAACAGCCTCTAACATGTGCAGCCACAGATCTACCGCTTGGTATTGATCCAGTGGTATCTATCAACACGTGGTCCTATGAAAGCAGCTGTTGGCCTGTAGGTTTTGTAACCCCTGTGCTGGGCATAGTATGAGCCATCAGTCATGTATGTCTTCCTATGAAGATACTGCGACCAGTGCTGCATGGGTGGCTTGCAGTAGTCACTAAACTAAACAACAAGAAATGAGATGAAGTTAAAATGTTTTTGAATAAGAGAGGGGAGACTAGTCTGGCCATCAGCTGTTAGTTTACCATACTCCTCCACAACAGAACCTGCAGGGCAGGTGATAGCTCTGACCACAAGCTACATACCATGACCATATTTACCTGGTAGATACTGTTAGGGTTACTGACAGTAGGGATAGCTTTTGGTTCCTTGATGAAGCTCTCCTCATCAGAAGAAGTGCCAGACTGATAGTCTAGAGCTGCTCTGTCAACAGCATAGCTGATCTGCTGAGGGAGCTCTGGGTTCTCCTCTCCCTCGAAGTGGGCAATTGTGAACGGCCGGTTCTTCTCACCATACCTGGAAGAAACTGTATTTGTATCACACAGTTCTGCACAAGCAGTACAGACATTTGCTACTACTCACCTGACACTAATACAGAAGTACACCTTCAGACAGTTTCTTTGGTAAGTTTGGCAAAGATCAAGTCAGTACAGAACACGCAGCATGATGTTAGTCACAGGTTCTCAACTCACCTGCAACATACCTCAAATGGATCAACCCATAGCGTCATCTCTTTTGGCAAACCAAGATTACTGAAGTCCACATTACTCTCCACACAAGCTTGCTCCAGCAGCGGATCTCTTGTCTGATGTTTGTTTATCCTTATACACCTAGTTAGGAGTACAAGGGCAGGTAGAACATTGAATTCCAGATGCAGCTTTGCAAGTTCTGCTCATCCAGAAATACAATCAGGTTCCCTACAGTTTATTTAACACAGCTTGTTGATGGAAGTTCTCACAACTTGAAGAAGCAAGTTAACATAACTAGCTGACTTGTATGTCCAAACAAGGCCTCTGTTACTTGTTCATTTTAAGACATTATGCAGCAACTCACTCTAATGGTCATTTTTGGAGACTTTAAGTTGTTACAATTCGGAGTCATTAAGGCCACTTAAGTTCTGCGCTCAAGAAGTCGTAGGGGTAGTCAAGACACAGTGCGCATTGCCTTTGGTTTTCTACCCTGGCTCTCTAGATAACTCCAGACACATCCTGGGGAACTACTTTCAGAGTTCTCATTTTTTCTTCTTTTTTTTTTTTTTTTTTACCAGTTAACAGCTAGCTTTCATTTAGTTACATTTGCTGTATCTTCAATGCCACGCAAAGACTCCAGTCTGCCTCCTCTTCTGCTAAGAATCCTTACCTGAAGGCTTGTCCTCTGGATGGATTGTCCAAGTACCAGTGATTCTTGTACTTCTCAAACAGTATTGTTGTCAACTTAGCTGCAAATTTCTCAATTTTATGCTTACTCAGCTTGTCTTCCCTTTTCACCAGCCTTGTGATGAAGAAGACCGTGGCAGCAATTTCGTCTTTCATTTTAAATCAAGTGCACAAAGTGCTGTTGGAGAGCCATCAGTAGAAATGAGACACTACACTAAATAAGTTTGGTAGCACTAAGACAGTATAAAATTCCCAAGATAGATATTACAAAACCTGCATAAACCACATGAGATAAAGCCTAGATAAGCCCAGATGCTAAACAACCAGTCACCTCAGTTCAAGATACTGACACCAGCTTAACATACTGCCAGAAGACTCCCACACTACTACACTTGTTAAAGTATTAATGAGTGTAGAAAATATTATTCCTTATTACACATCACATACACATTTCAATAATGAAGCAGCAGTACTTACTTACTATACTTATAGTTCTTATAGAACTTACAGTTCTTTTACTTACAATGAAAATGAAAAACATTACCTTCTCAGACCAAAGCTGCTGAAAATCTAAGATATACTTTACATACAACTCCAAATAGTCACCAAGGAAACAGATTTAATACTACAAGAACCTATGTAGTTGTTAGCTTGTTTTTTTTCCTAACAGAAACCCCACAAACACCCAATTTCTCTCCCCCTCTTCTAAACAATACACCTTGCTTACGGATTTATATAGAAGAGGAAAATCAAGGGGCTCTGTGAAATTTAACGATATTCAGGTGTGCACCATTACACTTATCAACATGCTGGTTTCAAAGGTATTGCCAAGCTATTTGGTGTTATCCCAATATCAGCATCATCTTTTAAGGCATATTTAAATCAGCACTGTGTACTATTGTGTCCATGAGCCCATCAGATAAACATCAGTTTAATATTTAAGTTAAATATTCACCATGAGAAAAATAGTACCGGGCTTATTAATATTTTTTTAAAATTGGACTTGACTGCTACTAGCTGCCTTTGCACAGCTATTACTTTCCCTATGAAGCCCTCACATTTGGTACTCTTCATTTTGAAAATTGTATGACTCTGTATTTACCATACATTAATCTTGCTAGTGATCTGTATAAACGTTCATGTTATTAGTAAAGTTTCATTTAATTTTTGAGGCGTTTTATGGAGAGTGGAAATGGCTCTGTTAAAGGGTTTTTACAAAGGCAGTTTCTCAAATATGAATGCTTCACTGTTTAAGACTTCAGGCAATAATTAGGGGGGAACATTCAGAGAAAAGCTGATGTGTTCTTTTTTTCCTTTTGCTGTCTCAGGAAGTTGTGCCACCAGTGTCAGATATCAGGAACTGTCAAGACAAAATGACAAATTAAGGTAAAAAGAGCTGAGTATTTAAACCGGCTCTTGATTTGATTGTAGATGTTGCAGCCAAGCAATTCAAGTGCTTACATTTTGGTTTTGTGAATAGATTGTGATACAATACACCGGATAAGCAAAATGAAGCATGAGGACACAACATCGCAGAAGTACACATCTTTGCAGAAGTGTACCACAATCCATGCATTTCTGGCTATTTCTGGACTCCCCTTCTCCTCCGCCCACACAGTTACTTCCTTTCTCTTTACAGTTTTGTTCAGTATCACAAAACAGACTTACCAAGCCATTTAGGAGAAATTCTGGCTTTAGAGAATGTGTAATAAAAGGGAAAAAAACAGTGTCTTCCCCTTCCTTTTTTGACATATCCAAATACTTCCTCAAGCAACAGGAACCCTCCAGTAACCACTCAAATGAGAGGAAAATCAAACGCTGAGATAATGAATCTTCAGGAAAAGCATACAACGGTGCCAGGAGTTGAGATTTAATGTCATACACCAGTGTTTTGACCACAAGACAGCCCCTCGTGTGCTCTGCACTGCATTCAGTTTCTTGTTACAACAAATAAGGGCTTTGTTCCATATGCAAGCCATGAGTTATTCCTTCCCTTACATACACAGCAGAAGAAGGCAATGGTAACCTGTTTTATGCTTCTGGAGAAAGTTGGGGGACAACAGGAAATCTCTGTTGGGCATTGTTGTAAAGAATTCCCATACAAGGTCTTCTCAGGAGTTGTTCGCCCCTTTCCGTGCAGCCTGTGAAGATTTTGACATGCCACGGACTGTCTGCTGCCTGCACACCAAAATTAGCTCCGGGTAACAGGTGAGAATGCTGGAGCAAGCAAACTGGATTTTTACGCCTGAGGCTGGAATGTTATTTTACAGAGTAAACTTGCTTTAAAAATGTCAGGCAATTGATGGGTCTCTCTTTCTGATTCTCATGTAAACCCTGAGGATGCAGCTGGGAACAGCTACCACAGATCTGGATCCTTCAGCTCTGCTGACAAAGTGGTGTCCAGGAAAATATTAAATAAGAGCAAGATCTACCTCCTAAAAATGATAGATAATGCACATAATTATAGTTCAAGTTCTTCTAAATAACAGTTTAGTCCACTCAAGGCTTCATGCACATTCACAGACCTACAGACTGTGAATCCTCTAGGGATGATGTTGTCTTTCTTGCCAAAGCTTCGTCTGCTTTCTTTGTCTTCACGTCATTTTTTCACATTATCGTATTACAATCTAATAAAAGAAATGACTTTTACCTATAAACCTTGTTTTCCTTTTATTCTTAAACAACCAGGGCTAAAATAACATTCCCACTGCAGAACAGCAGCAGGCATCTTACGGAGTCCATCCCCTGCCACTGAAGTCCCTAATTTTTTCAGTTTCCATGTGGGATCTGACACAGTAAGGTCTCAGGAATCATCCCATTGCTGTCTTTCCTTCAGTAAATGCCGAGCTGGTTTGGGTCAGTTGCAGGGTCGTTGAACTGTCTGCTGCCTTCCTACTTTCTCCAACTCTAACTTGCCCAGGCAGGCCCTGTGAGTTAGGAAATTCTGTGACAAAAGAAGGGAACAGATTCCACAAAGGACAGTCAAAGAGAAGTCTGAATCCCTACAACGCCTCCTTTTGTTGAGTTAGTTGTTCCCATAGCTAACATATAAAGCACAGGTCAGCTGTAAACAAACTGCTCACCTGAGAAACCCCACGAAGCAGTGCAATCAGTCATGCAATAAGGTGTATTTCTTGGAAGTTAAGAGGCTGAACTACACACCATACCAACTTCTGCATCGGACAGGGAAAAAACAACAACAAAAAAAGGGAAATTTAAGAAAAGATCCCGGCAACCCATCCTGTTGGCTCTAATTATAAAGATTGCCACTGAAATAAGGCAGTGAGAACTTTTTAATTTAGTATTTTTAATATGCAGGAATTCAGAAGTATTTCTGTTAATGACAGATACAGCAGAGTACTTCTGGCCTCCCATTTCACTGACAAGAAAAGCTGTATCTTTACATCAGGTAGATTCACTGAACACAAATCCTTCATAACGCTGGCAGATGTCATGGACCTGAAGAAATGGCAGCCTTGGGTACCCTATTTGGATAAAAAATAGCTGGGAAACAAAGCGTCAGAAAGAAAATGTGAGCAGTCCATCCCAACGTGAGACCCATTAGCAATTCAGCAAACTGTGCTCCCACTTGTTCCCTGTTGCATCCTGACAGAAATTGTTAGCATCCCAGCAGCTTCTGCAAAGACCACGACGAATAGCCAAGTGTTCTGATCGGGAAAATGTATGAGATAAATGAGCAGACATTTATGCCTTTTGCTAAAGGGTGCTGCTGTTTTTTTTAAACATTATTAGGAAAAAAAAAAAAAAAAAGAAAGAAAGAAAAAACAAGAAAAAAACAGTGCATTGCTGTGCCTGGATATCCATGGGAGATATCCAAAGCTCTGTAAAATCAAAGGAAATCTGTCCAAAGACTTCAGTGGGATTCAGATCAGGCCCCTAACTCAGCACAAGCATTCTTAGCTAGATTAAATTATGGGTCTCCTGGGTCACCAGGCAAGCCTAGGCATGAACTACAAAGGGAAAAGAGTCAGACACAGTTTCTGTAGTAACTGTGGGCCAAACCAAGAGCGAGCAGTTTCCCTAAACACACTACCAGCAACAGTTACCCCTGAAGATTTTTTTTTTCAGATTTCTTGTTTTTCAGGATTGAGTTCGTGGAGCCAACAAAACAACACACAGCTTGTTAGCGGGAATCTTCCTTCTAAAAGCCATTTGGGTTTTGTGTATGCTCGGTGCCAGACGCCTTCTCCAGGTAAGCAGCCGAAGTCCTAACTATTGATGTAAGAGCAGTGAGCGCAAACTGTTTCTGTATGGGAAAACATCCTAGATGACAGCGTTCTTAGAGAAAAAGACTCCACTTTTCTTTTGTCAGGCTAGGTCCTGACCCAATCTCATTCGCAAGCACCACCAGAGCAATGTCTGAGCACCAGCAGTGCTGCAGGAGCACAGCAGCAATTCAGCTGGCTCTGCTATGTTGGAGGGCAGATGAAGCCGTGTATCTGGAAGCGTGATGTTTATTCACATCATGCAGTCTCTGTGCAAAGATTTATTTTTGGATGGAACAACACAGTGATTCCGATCAAAGCCACAAACTGCACTTTTAATATGTTGATGGCTCACAATTTTTTTCCTTTTATAAATAGAAACTTTCTGGGCCTGATGAGAGAGCTTAAGAATATTTATTTAAGAAATGAATCACGTTCTGATTAAGGCTTTCATCTTTACTTAATTGCTTAGTAACTCAGTGGGTATTCTGTAAACACCTAAGTGACAGGTACTTACAGATAATTTTTCTGCATAAACACTTTACCATGAGTACTGTATTTTATTATGCAAAGCACATAGGACATATGACCGCGCTAATTACACTGATTAGGAGGGGCCTAACCCACACAATTTACATGGGCCTGCTAGAGGTAGGCAGTTCTCAAAGGGGGCGAGGTGCACCGAAATTTCTAAAGGACAAGCTCTTTGAAAGCATCTCAAGTCATTCCTCTAAAATGAGATACCCCAAATCTCTAGACACTCTTACCCCTACCGCACGTGTGGATCACATCACCAGCTAAGCATCGTGTCTTGCTAAAGCAGCAGGGAGGACCATGCTGTTTTACTCTTGCATTTCCACCTCCCACGCAACTAAGAGCAATGCAGAAATGTTTTCTCCTCCTCCAGTGTGGAGCAAAGGAGATCCTGCAGTGCGCACAGTCCATACGGGCTTATCTACCTGCCTCCTGCCGCTCCCCGTGTCAGTTGTGACAGGCTGAGGTCATGTTGGTGCAGGTTGTCAGGAAGAAATGAGCAAAGAATTAAGCAGGGAAACATGACCTGAAATGCAAAGGAGTGAGAAGTCTGCAGTGAGCTGAACTGGTCAAGAGCAAGCATACAGAAATGGCCAGCTAGGTCCCCAGGGAACGGGGAGAGAAGTGGTCTCGACACCCGTGGGTGAAGATGTGCAGCATGTGTCTCCCACTGGAGCCCAGTGCCAGGAGCACAAGACATCTGTTCTCTAGACCCGTTTGTCTGTCTTTTGGGGCCCTCCTTCCATAGAACCTAGGCTCCTGGTATGGAGCTGTACAGTCCAGGTAGCAGCCCAGACTGCCACACATAACACCAAAACCTGGATCCCCCCATGGCTGTGGCAAAACCTGCAGCCATTTGTCCCCAGGAGAAGGGCAGAAACTCTGTGCACGCTCTGTATTGACTCTGCCCATAGAAACCTCTTTTGCAACAAAGCTTTCTATGGCAAGAGCCATCCGGATGGT